TTATTATTGAGAAACATGAAAGTTTTTCAAGAACATCTGTTTTTTGGGTTGGCAAAAGGATCAGCGGAAAGAGTTTTTTTATAAATAATTCATATTATTATAACTTCAAAAATATATATATATATTATATAGTATATATTTTTTTATTTTTTATTTTATTTTTATATTTTATTAAATTTTTTAAGTAAACATAATCACTATTCAACTATATTTAGTATATACAATATTGTTTTAAATTTTATTTTCAATGTAAATAAGCTAGTATTTAACTTGTTATATGTTTTGTATTCAAGAGATGTTGTTTTCTTGATATATACTTTTAATATATAAATTAAATAAAAAAATGATGTTTACCTATTATAAAAAAATAAAATAATAAAATAATAAACTAATTAAAAATAAAATAAATATTAAATATTATAATAAAAATATATAAATTATAATTATTTTGAAGATTTAATTTTTATTAGATATGAGGATTGTTTTGATGACAATTATAATCATCGCGTAACTTTTAAAGGTTTGCAAGAATACTTTAGTAATGTTTTATGATTTAAATCTTCCTTTTCCTACACAACCGAATCTGGCGACTCAGCGGAATGAACTTCGTAAAAGAGTTGACTTACTCATTAAGCGTAAAAATATTTTGGTTAGTACACAGCATCTATCGGAGCATATAATAACTTCTGTGATTCCATTTTCAAAGTAGGATATCAGGTTGTTGCATACAATCACACTGTCACTGGAAAAATAAACCAGAGTAATGTGAGTTTTCTTGGTCGTCGTAAAAATTTTTAGGTGTACTTTCCTGACTAACTTTATACTGTTGAGTGAAGGTAAATCCAATAAAAAAACTGGACTTTGATGATATTTCCAATTCCAACCAGAAACAAAAAATTGAACAATTAACCCGAATTACCGTTGTAATTGAAGATGCAAGTCAAAATATTGGATTGGTTTGTGATCTCACAGAAATTAAAAATCGCGTGTTATTTAGATAGATTCGGTATTAACCTGTTCTATTAAAAAAAAGACTTCTACCAACAATGCAATCTCATCGTATGATATTTTCGCGGTCCAACCGACAAATGAAAAATTATTTCAAAATGCCTGCGGTACCTTTGATGTAGATATTATTTCATTAGAGATGGGATCACGTTTGCCATTTTATCTTAAACACGGTACTGTTGGTTTGGCAATCGAACGTGGTGTATTTTTTGAAATATGTTATGCCCCAGCTATCAGAGGTTAGTGAAATTGAGTTTTTATTTATTTATTTATTTATTTATTTATTTATTTACGAGTCAATTAATTTTTATTATTAATTTATACACAGATTCTTCGTCTCGTCGACAATTAATATCTAATGCACAGAATTTAGTTAGAGTAACGCGTGGTAAAAATATTATTATCACAAGTGATGCTCAAAGAGCGATGGAGTTACGTGGTCCTTATGATATCATTAATTTGTGAGTGGACTTTTCTTGATGCTTCATCATTGAAACTTACCATTAACAGATAGCAATTTTAGAGCCACAATAATGGGTATGAATCAAGCTCTTGCTAAAGAATGTATTTCAACAAATTGCCGATCAGTGTTGATGCATGCCAGTAAGTGCCTATACATTCTGAATTTCCGGCAAATTACAATTTTTAACACAAATTAAATTCTTAGTCACGCGACAAAGGACTCATAAGGCTGTAGTTTCTTTTGAACCAGTTTCTTCATTAAAACAAAATGATTTATGGAAGGTAAAGCGTAGTAGGAAAGAGGAATCAAAAAAAGCAAAACGTAAAAAGATTGATGACTCTGAAAAAAGCAAATAAATTATTCTTTAATCACAATCTTTGCCTGAAAAACTAATTTAAGAGCTCAATTACAGTATATATTTATAGATTGAATGTAGCTAGAATGTTATATAAAGGGTAACTAACAATAAATTTATTAAAAATCTGAATCATATAAATAAAAGGTAATAACTGAGAGTTTTATAATATTTATATATCTAAAATATTGATTTTTATTTATTTTTTTATTTAAAAACATTTATCAGTTGATATTACAAATTATTATACATTTTATTTTTTATTTTTTAAGAAATTTTGAGTTATTTATTTTATTTATTATTATTATAATAACAATTTTTTATATATTTGTAAATTATAATCTATTGTAATACAGTAAACTTTTTTTAAATGCATACTTTTTGAAACCATAGAAAATTTTTTGAAAAATATGTATTTATAGAAGGTATGTATTTATAGAAATAATTTTATTAAAAGTTCTATATATTTGAAACCAAGTTTGATTATGCATTTTTAAAAAAAAAACATAGCAAATGCATTTATAAAAAATATATTTAGAGAGATCTTTTTGTATATAAATAATATATTTAAAACTTTAAAAAAAAATTTTTTTTAAAAAATTAATTAATAATTAACTTTTTTTTTTTTTTCAATAGGTAAACATTATTTCTTTATTTAATTTGTATATTTAAAAAGTATACATCATAAAAGAAACAACATTTCTTACATGCAATAGCAGTAAATTTAATGCTAACTTGCCTATACTATCTATACCTAGTTAATATCAAAAAAGAAATTTTAAAACAATATTGTATATTAAATATAGCTGAAAATAGTAGCTATGTTTATTTATTCAGAAAATTTTAATAGAATATAATAGATAGAAAATAAAACAAAAATGAAATGAAAAAGAAAATATGCTAGATAAGTATAAATGTAATAAAAACTAATTATAAAATAAAGGAGGTCTATTGGACACATTACTTTGGTAGTTTCACTCCTACGAAGTATATATTAATATACTTTTTGAATAGCCAGGCTACTTTTTAAAATATATAATAGTATTGATGACATAGATTCTTGATAGCTGGTGATATGTAGTAATAGTAGTTAATTAGTGGTAATAATAATAATAATTTTGTTATTGTTTGCATGATAATTGATTGGATAATATGTAAATTGGTTGATATGAGTCACTCCTAGGCTACTGTTGATATAAGCCACTTCCAAGCTGTTGTTTAAAAAGAACAAAAATATTGAAAAGGTTTTTTAATAATTGTTTGGACTTGATAATTGTTATTTTATAATAATAATATGTTGTTGTTGATTTTTAATTGATATTTGATAGAATGTAATTATTGTTTTAATATTTATTAATAGTAAAAGGTCATATAGTTATACAGGTTTCCATTTTTGAAATTGTTTATATTGATCTTTGGTAAATGTGATAGACGTGTTTTAATATTTTATAAGATATGATTGGTTAGAACTAAAGTATTGATCAATTACCAGGAGTAAGTTAATTATAGTTTTTTGATAAAAAGTTTTTTGAAAAAGATTTTTGGATTTTTTGTAGTGCAGTATAGTGTATTGGATAATATTGAAAATTATATTTTGTATATATTGATGGTTCTTTAAGCCAAAAATATACACAATTTTAATGTAAAGTTTTGTGTTTTGTGTTGAAAGAAGATTCTTTGGCAAAAAAAAAAAAGTATTTAAAAGTATTTGTATATTGATAAGAAATGTTTTAATAAGAAGTGAAAATAAGAAAAGCTTCAAGAAAAATCTATAAAGAAATAATCGCCACAAGCCTTTCCTCATGCAATTTAAAAAGAGAGCAAGGTTTTCAAACTTGCTTCTTCCTAACCAAAGGTTCCATCTTGATATATCAGTATATTTCTTTGATTTCTTGAGGCTTTTATAGTAAAGACTAAAAAGATATAGAGAACTTGTAGGTAAAGATGGGTCCCTAAATTAAAGGTGAGGACATAATTCAAATGTTCCTCACTATTAAAAAAATTTTTTTTAAATATAAGATCAAAAAAAAACTACCTACAAAGGTTTTTTGCAATTTAGGACACTTGATTCAAGTGTTTTTTGAATTATGTCCCTATTAAAGTAATGAATAAATAATTATGTCCCTTCAAAAAAAACATAATTGATCTGCAAAATTTTATATGCTAAATAGTTTAGGGACCCATCCTTACTTGTAGGTATTGGGAAGCGAAAATGATATTTTTTTCTTTAATTTTTAAAAAGTTATTATAAAAAGAAATTTTTAAGAAAAATGTTATACAGTATATGGGAAAGAGTTTTAATTAACAATTAACTTTTAATTATATTATTAATTATATATGATTAAAATAATTGAACTAATATTTTTTTATTATAATTTAATAAATAATAATTTAATTAATAAAATTTTAAATATATATAAAGTGATACTTTTTCCGCTGATCCTCTTGCCAACACAAAAAACAGATGTTCCAAAGAAATTTTATATTTCTTTATAATATAGTCTATATACTTTCCTTAACAACATCAATACTTAAAGACTATAGCCTCTCCCCTCTTGTTTCTTTTTTTCTTTGATATAAACTTCCTATATTTCAGCAAGTAAATACAAGAAAAACCTACCTATAAAGTCAAAGGTAAGAACACTTTGTTAGAAAGAAGAACTTGTAAAAAAATATCATCTTTTTTTCTTCTAGAGATTCAAGACTCCAGAAAAAATTAACATAGGCTTTTGAAACTCTTCTCTCATCTTTCTCAAGTCTCTCTCCTATCCTTTCAAGTATGTATACTTTTTTTTGATTTTTCTGGAGAATTTTGCCTACCTCAGTTTAACCTTGAATTTTTAGTTATACCGGAACTCCTGAATGATGATTGGCTAGAAATTTGGACTGGTTGATCTACATATAGCAAGAAATATAAACAAAACACATAACTCCCACATGTCCCATCTCGTACAACAATAAACCTGATAATGCTATTGGACACAGTGAAAAGAGTAAGGTAACGAGAAGTTCATTTTGTCAAGATGTGTTATGGTGCTCCCTCCTCTCCTTTTGGACTGGTTTATTTTCTCTTCAAGATCAAAAGAAGTCTCATCCCAATCCAGTAACAAGCTTCCTCTATTGTTAATTATCCCAAAAATGGTTGAAGAAAGGAGTTTGAAAACTATTTACTGGTTGAATGAAGCTATAAATCCTTGGAGATTTGGTTGGAAGAGAAATCGCCAATTAAAATACCAACTCTCCTCAAGGTTAGAAGTCTTCGAGTGTAAAGTTTCAAAAAATACTTTCCTGGAAGTACCCTTAAATGTTCTTGGTCAACAATGGAATAGTAGAAATTAAATGGTTCACACAGCTGCAGGTGATGGTAAAAGATTTATTCTGATGGACTGAAGTTAATATTGGAGGGTTTTTATTTATCAGAATAAACTTTTCAACTACACTTTCTTATTCCCTCTTTTTTTTCTCAAAAAATAAAAAATTTTTTACCTCTTAGGACCACAGGATCATTCGGGGTAACAGTTTGAATATAGGCTGGCCATGATCTTTCAAGGCATAGTTTTTGATATCTAGTCTTGAAAGGAAGCAACTTCTTTATTCCCAATGATTGTATCTAGAGAGTTTAGATTTAAAAAATCTAAAATAGTTAATACCACGCAATAATAGTTTAATGAACCTACTCCCTTATAGTGAAATAGTTAGTAAATAACTAAATCATGTAGGCAATACGGTAGTCTTGGTATTAAGGATTTAAGGATCATGTACAAATCTAAATTCATTGACGGGTATTCTGCAAATTATGTGATAGTTTAGCTTTAGTATAGTATTATATATATTGTACTACTGTTTTCCAAAATTGGATGAA